TGTACATTGTAGCCACAGCCACCCTGGGGCGCACTGACAGTAAGCAATCTGATAAACCGAAACCAGTATGATAACATTACAGGAATGCTGATAGTATCGCAGTTTTAAAGCTTTGTAAAAGAGGTGCACTGGGCAGTGTTTTCATTAGACAAGAGACGAGAGACTAAACTTTATCCTTCCAAACGATGCAGGCAAAATCTGAGATTTTAGCACTGGTCCTGGGCGCCCTGGGCTTATGTGGGACAATAGTCACCACTTGTCTGCCCCATTGGAGGGTTTCTGCCTTCATCGGTGCCAACATCATCGTCATGGAGGAGCTCTTAGAGGGCTTGTGGATGAACTGCTACCGACAGGCTAACATCAACATCCAGTGCAAGGTGTATGACTCGCTGTTAATTCTCCCACCAGAGCTGCAGGCAGCGAGGGGGCTCATGTGTGTCTCCATAGTCCTGGCTTTCATCTCGTTGTTGCTCACAGGATTCGGGATCCAGAAGAGCAGCTGTTGTGGTGACAATTTAAAGAGTAAGAATATCACCTATGCATTAGGAGGGATTCTGTTTCTACTTTCCTTTTTGACCACACTCATCCCCGTAAGCTGGGTGGCCCATACTGTCATCAGTAACTTCTATAACCCGACAACGCTGGATGCTCAGAAGCGGGAGCTGGGATTGTCCCTCTTCATTGGCTGGGCCACTTCTGGTGTTTTGCTAATCACCGGGATCATTGTGCTGTTTAGGTACAGCAAACGCAGTGCAAAGGAAGATCAGCGCTACATTGAAGCATATCATATGGTGAAAAGGAATGAACAGAAGGCGGACAGTGTTGACTTTTCAAGAGCGAAATCTAGTTTTCATACAAATCAGGAATATGTGTAAATAACTGTACTGCAGTGTACTAATTGCATATTAGATGTCTCTCCGTATATTTATGAGCAACATGTGTTTTATTTGCAATGATATATTTAAATCAATATGTAACCATGTTCTATTGTACTATGCATTTGTCTTGTCTGCACTGTTTGGTTTACAGATGCAGCAAAAATATTTGGTTAATATGCTGTACACGAATAAACAACATTGCCTGTGTTTAAAGTAATATAATTTTTGGCAAATCTATATTATCACTGATCAACAATACACTGCTTGCAGTGGCTATCACCGATCAACTTCAATCTTAATGCAGCTCTTACTCCAATGACCCTGAGAATGTAATCACTGTTTTTAAGTACTTTTTTGGCTGCAAGTCTGTATTTTCTGTATTTATTTAAGTCATTTTTGTTGTGCTTAATGATGAATTTCTCATCTAAGACATGACAAATGCAACTGCTTCCCTGTCTTATTTCATTATATTTCATGATCTAATAATCCCGCCAACCAAGTGAACAGATAATTTATTAAAATCTTTAATTCAGTTTGTTTGTGTGATTCAATTCATAGAATTTCTACTTTTTTGTGGAAAGCAAATACTTGACCAACACTCCATTCAGGTATTTTTCTTGTACTAAAAACCTAAGGTGGAAAAGTGAAAACAGCCAATGAAGAAGTGCCTCATTTTCACATTTGACAGAACAGAAACTAAAATGTTTCTGTGGCTGCAACAAGGGAACGACCCCGTGTGATAATGACAAAAGGCACTCCCCCTCAGGTTTCTTTGTGCGACACCTTTTCATCAGCTCGTCTTACGTGTAGAGAAGCAGTGCGTTTCACATCTGTGATCATCCACCCATCAGCTTTCTGTTTGTGAGATGGAGTCGTTTCCTACGCCCATTAGTGTAGTTGGATGCTACAGTTGTTATATTCGTTTTATTCGTTTTTTCAACATTTATAGCAAGTCTTTTTTATCTGGAAAATCCTTTCAAATGATAAAACTGGCCACACATTGCATTAGTTAATTTTAAGTTAGCACATGTAATAGTACTGAGATATTACATCGTATGTTCACAATACATTTTCCCTATGCTAAATGTTCTCTAAAATTACGTCAAGTATTTCCGTGTAGTATTAAAAATATCTTACATACTTTTCATTAAGTTTGACTTTTTTTGCTTGATTTTTTTTAAAATATGATGTTGATTAAACCTTGATGTTACTGTGGTAACAAGATTTAGTGATTTTTAATAACTAAAAACTAACAACTGATCATTAGTACTGGAGGTATTCAAAACAAGCAGCACTCCTTTGTGTCTCGCCATTTATCTGATGGCTCTGAAGCAGCTTAACCAGTAAGGCTGCATTGCATCATTAGCATAGTTTTTGTGGGTGTATAAGTTCCTCAACTTGTTGTTGTTCTCAGATTTTTCTCTTCAGCTGTATAAGTGCACCAGAAGGTTGAGATTAAGCTTTCTGTGTTAACCAGAATGGCCACTTACACTGCTTACAGTGGCTACAGCAAGCCACCTCAATCTTATGTTGGCAGTTACTACGATGGGAAGCCGGCGCTGACAAATGGAGAGTACGGAGAGTATGGGGACTCTGTATATGAGGAAAAGAAGAAAATTGAAAAACGGAAGCAACAAAATGCTATCTGCTGTGAGGTAGTAGCTCTCATCATTGGCTTCATTGGACTAATTGGCGTTGCCGCTGTGACGGGCCTGCCGATGTGGAAGGTAACAGCCTTTATTCAGGAGAACATTATCGTCATGGAGACCCGCTGGGAGGGTTTGTGGATGAACTGCTACAGACAAGCCAACATCAGAATGCAATGTAAAGTGTACGATTCCCTGCTGTTTCTGCCTCCTGATCTCCAGGCTGCCAGGGGTCTGATGTGCAGCTCTGTGGCTCTGACCACCTTCGCCCTTATTGTTTCAGCAGTGGGGATGAAATGCACAAAAGTGGTGGACCACCGGGCTCGTACCAAGCATATTGTTCTTGTGGCTGGTGGCTGCCTGTTCCTCATGGGTTGCCTTACAATCATAATTCCCGTGTCCTGGACAGCCCATGTCATCATCCAAGATTTTTACAACCCTCTACTGATCGATGCCCAGCGTAGAGAGCTCGGGGAGGCCCTTTACATTGGCTGGGTGACTTCAGCGTTGCTTTTCAGTGCCGGAGTGATCCTGCTTTGCCGCCATGCTCCCCGCACCCAAGATCCAGATGAGAGGTTTCAATACAACCCCACAGGAAGCTTCTACCAACCCGCATACACCAACCAGCCAGCATACACCTACCAGCCAGCATATACCTACCAGCCTGCTTACTCTGCAGCCCCACCAGGATCTGTGATATATGCACCAAGTCAATACTAAAGATTTTTGGACTTTTTTTTAAATAAACTTGCCAAAATTTGGCACATTTGATGAGGAGAACTGATTAACTGTCGTTCACTTGAAACAACCAGATATTTCTTTACTTATCAAAGTGTACTGCAAATACTCCGAATCATTATGGACTTGAATGTGTTTCGATGCTGACAAACTGCTGGATTTCTATATTCCTTGTTTGGGGGTTTTTTTTTAACCCTTTTGCTTAACTCACACTAAATTATATTCTAGCACAGTATGTGTAATCTATTACATCTGTTAATGTTACAACAATTGCATGTTGATATTGCGTTCTTTACAGTTTCTGACTTGCTCTCCAAGAACAAATTGTCAACTAGGCCCTTTTTTCAGATTGTAAACCAGTGATTTGTTTTCAACACTGTTATAAATTAAAATATTACATACAAGTTTTTTCAAAATGCTGGCCAAAATATCTGGCCAAATTTGTTTTTTTCCTAATAAAGTAAATGGCTTGTAAAAGAGAATCTTGTTGTATTTTTTCCCCCAATGTCTAACACAACAGTACATAGCTGATCAAGAAGTTAAAGGTGCATTATAATGTAAGCAGTGTTTCAGTGCTGACAAATGATCTTAAATTTGTTGTAAATTTCCAAAACCTCCAACTGAAACTGCACTTTCTTCACTCACTAGTGAGCAAATGGAAATATATGTCATTTCTATTGTAGTGTGTGGAAATGTGCCTAAACTGGTAAAACCAGGCTGTTTACACAGATCCACCCACTGTACAAACCTACCAGGTGACTTTATTTCAACCAAACAGGAATTGGTTGCTTTTTTTTTTCCCCCTGAGAGGAGAGTGACACAAGAGACCCAGACAAGAAATCCAGTACTGACAGTCATACATGTGTAACATTTGAGACCCTTAAAGCAAACCAAAATATATAAGAATATTAAAAAATATACAAACGCACACACGCACATGCACGTACAAATTGTTTCCTTTTCATGGTACTTCTAAAATGTACTTATCAAATGTATAAAAAAAATGTTGAATATTTGTCATAATTTGCCATACTTTGTTCTTTTTTCCCCGCCGTTCTACTACTACTCATATTCTGTTAAAACTACACATCTCTCATATCTTTCATATACACACACAGAAGCAGACTTCCCCCGACCCACTGTTTGTCTTGTCTGCTGTGCACTCCTGTCTTTAACAGTGTGCTTTACAAAAATGGGGGACAAAGAGTTTTGTCCATTGCTGTTATTTTGTGTCTCCAGTTCCCCTACATGCCCATGTACCATGAGGCCCTCCACAATAGCAGTAAATGATTAAAAATAAAGATGAAGTAATAAACAGGAAGTGAATCAGAACTGATTTTTGATCTGTAACTATAACTGGTAATACATTAACAGAGTATGTTTACCAGTGATACATTTGACGATTCTGAACATGCCCCCATTGTTAAGAAACACCTCGTCGTTTTGTCTTCTTTTAAACCGAAGTCCGAGAATGTAAACTGAGACTTCTGAGTAAACAAAGGGGGAATCTTAGAGCAGCTACTGGGTTGCTGTACAAATAATTAAAGGCCCAAGGGATTCAGTTTCCTAGCAACATGTCACAATTCCCACTACCTCCCATTCTGGTGTTATGTCCACAGGGAGGAGGGTGTACAGGTAAACATGAACCTGCTCCTCCTCCATCGGGATGCAAAGCCACTCCACAGAGAAAACCTACTGCTTCCTACAGCAGTCACACTGTGTCCGCACACTATTGCTCTTCTGAGCGTGGATGAGTAAGTGAAGAACAGGATGGCAAACTCAGCACTGGAGATTGTGGGTCTTTTAGTATCCCTAATCGGGCTGATCGGGGCAGCAGCAACTACAGGAATGCCTATGTGGCGCGTCACAGCCTTCATTGGAGACAATATCATCGTGTTTGAGACTCTGTTTGAGGGCTTGTGGATGAATTGCTACCAACAGGCAAGCTTCAGGATGCAGTGTAAAGTGTACGACTCTCTCCTGGCCCTGACTCCTGACCTGCAGGCGGCAAGGGGGCTTATGTGCTGCTCTCTGGCACTGAGTGGTCTTGGTGTGCTGATCAGTCTGATAGGCATGCAGTGCACATCATGCATCCAAAACAATGATCGAGCTAAGCGGCTGGTTCTCATCATTGCTGGTAGCATGATCATATTGGGTTGCTTCTGTGTCCTCATCCCCGTCTCCTGGACGGGTCACGTCATCATCACTAACTTCTACAACCCCTTGCTGATCGATGCCCAGCGGAGAGAGCTTGGAGCAGCTCTCTACATTGGCTGGGTAACTTCGGCTTTCTTGTTTGCTGGAGGATGCATTTTTATTTGCTGTAATATACAGTCGGATGACAAAGATTCAGAGCGATACCTATACTCCAAGGCCTCAGACTATTCGGTCTACCCTCAACAGCCACTACAGCCTCTACAGCCTCAACAACTGATGACGCTTCCCCAACCACGATCTCAGCCAATGCTATCAAGATACCCATCGTCTGTCTACAGTTACCAGTCCAGATACCCCTCTGTACACAGTGCACACAGTGGAGTCGCGTTTCTGTAAACACTTATTTTTATTTTTGTTTTTTTAATTGATCGGAAACTGCATTTCAGGTTTAAGAGAAAATGTGTGTGAACCAATACACCATTTCTACTGCATTATGTGTATTAATTCAATTTTATACTAACAGCCTTATATTTTATACAAATGCTTAAAAAAATGTGTACATTTATGCTGTATATAACAATTTAATTCAATCTTTAACCACTGAAAATTATTAAAAAGTTGACTTACTGTAAAACATGCACTTTGTTAATGGGACATGTCATCTCTGTAAAACAAGAGTAGTTGTAACTACATTTAACCCTCTCAAGCTCAAATTAAGTTTTTGTTGCTAATGCACAAAAGAATACCTGCAGTGGTACTTCTGAGTAAAAGAAACTCATAAAATATGCATGTGGGGTAATCAGGTTGTTAGCTTTTAACTGTTGCAAATCTGCAACGCCTGCCTTGAGAGGGTTAAAGCTTTAGTCATTTCAAAAAATATTTCTTAACTGTGTCTGAGCTGTGCTGCTAAAAAAGAAAAGAAACAGCTCAAACTCATCTCTGTGGCACAAATAGTCTCTCATTGTCACATTGTCACATTCTGTTTCTTCTTTTTTTTTTGTTAATCGTTACTAATCAGTTTCAACTAGTATTCAAATCAAAAGTAATAACTAAATGATGGCAGGTGTAGAAGTAGTACAAGAAAAGACCAACAAACACATAACGCTTCATGTGTGAAATGAAAAGAAGAAACAGTTTTCATTTTTCATTATGAGAATTTCACTGGAAAGTAAATGCATCTATCTAAAATACCTCCCAAACTAGGACGTTTATGGCGTTTATGGTGTTTGCTTAACCAAAAAAATCCTGAATCTGTTTAAGTTGGCCGGGTAAAGAGGAAATAGTTACATAAAAACAAGATACTGGGTTAAGGCTACTTGCTTAAGGTGTGGCAGCATAGCCAGATAGTTACAAAGAAAGCATTGAGACAACAGCATAATCATATGATCCAAATTTGCAAGTCACTTTGAATAGAAAACCAAGCAGACTGTGTTAAACATTTCTGTCTCTGTTCAATAGAATACGACTTCTTAATCGAACAGGTCGCTTAATTTCAGTTTTAGTAAGTTCAAATGTAAACTGTACAACTTGAACTTCAAAATAAAACAGTAATGGCACTGCTGTTGGGTAACGCAAATACTTGTGACGTAAGGACAATGTAGTGTTTATTGTTGCTTGAGGTTTCACGCAATAATTTCTGAAGCCATAATGAATACATGTTGACAAGTTCTGTACATAATTTAAACTTAGACATCTAAACTGTAACTATCTAGAACAAACTGTATTTGGCCTGTGTTATGTGAGATCCCCCTCATTTCACTATCCTCTAAGGTCATCTCTGCTCCCCTGTGGACAATATAAGAACTACATGCGCTGTACTAAACTGTACCACATATTAATGTTCGCTTCTGGGTTGTACCGCATCTAAAGAGTAAGAAAACATGGCAAATAATTCAAATTAAAATAAAAAAATAGTACTTGGTGTTGTCTTGTTTTGTGTGTACAGTGTTGGAGAAAGTAATGACTGACCCCTATCATCTGAGAACCATAAACACAAAATAAGCAGACCTCCTGCTACCCTCATCCCTCTAAACCAATCAGGTGAATGCAGGACCTCTTACCCATAACAAACTGTCTCATACAGCAAGCAACTGTTGTGGATGAGAGCCATTCTAATTCTGGATTTAACCACAACTGGAGTTTTGGAGATTTAACCATGATTCAAGGTGCTTCAGAGCTAGCTGCAATATGCCTGGGCTTGGTTGGCTTGATCGGTGCCTCGGCTACCACGGGGTTGCCCATGTGGAAGGTGACCGCGTTCATCGGAGAAAACATAATTGTGATGGAAACCCTCTGGGAAGGCCTATGGATGAACTGCTACAGACAAGCCAACATCAGAATGCAATGTAAGGTTTATGACTCCCTGCTGTATCTGCCCCCTGAATTACAGGCTGCCAGGGGTCTGATGTGCTCTGCTGTGGCCTTGTCAGCGGTGGGGCTTCTTGTGGCTCTGGCAGGAATGCGATGTGTGTCCTGTATTCGGGGTAATGATTGGGCTAAGACCATTATATTGATGGTTGCAGGGGTTATGCAGTTCATGGCGTGCATCTGTGTCTTTATCCCCGTGTCGTGGACAGGTCATGTTATCATTACAGATTTTTACAATCCTTTGCTGATTGATGCCCAGAGAAGAGAGCTAGGAGAGGCTCTTTACATTGGATGGGTGACAGGTGCTGTGCTTTTCGCCTCATCCTTGTTGTTTGTCTGCCGCCGTTTGCCCAAAGGCAAAGGCTCGTTTGATATGTATCACCCACCAAACTTACTTAGTTATAAGCCAACGCCCAATAGGCCAGCTCTGATGAATTATCATCCCCTGTCCAGCCTTCGATCGACTGGTTCCGTTGGACAAAACGCTGCAATGCCACTGCAAACTGTCATTCCAGTAAGGACAAATAATGGAACAGTATTAAACCCACCTGTTGTCTATAATCTGACTCCTCAGGAAAACGCATCACTGCTATATCAAGGCAGTACGTCTCATCACCCCTCAGTGCAGAGCTCTAACCACAGTGGAAACTTGTATGCTCCAGAGAACTCCTTATACATGAGTCAGAACACCATACCATATTCACTCACTTATGTTCCCACCACGTCCTACCAGTCCAGCTTCCATCCAGTTCCACAGACTCCTATTTTCATAACATATAAAGAATCAAGAGCTCAATCAGTGCCTTACAGTGAGATGAGAGGTGGTGTATACATATAAGGAAAAATCCACAACTGAGTTTAATCCTAATGCATATACTGAATAATACTGAACGGTGTGTTTAAAGTTTTTGTACTGTTAATAACTGTTTTAAATGTTTTGCACTGTGGAAAAAATGTCTGCTTTTATCAAATGGGACACAACCATTGTTATTAGTATACACAAAGATGAGCCTTTGTAAACCATTTAACCTCTGTAGAAATCACCAGGATGGAAAGTTATGGCTTAATGTTTTGCAACCTTTTGCAGCCATTTGTTCAAAAACCTCTAGAATTGTTATCGTTATCACGATGTCTCAGTGTGTGTTTTGCTATCATGATGTGTTTTCCACCAGCCAGATGTATAAATAACTTGTTATTATTATTGCTTGCCTGTAATTTCGATTAGCAATGATCATTAAAACCACATTTTAATTTACAAATGTTAGTAGCTGGCAGGTGTTTTTGTTTTTTTTTAATACAACACTTCACTCTCTAGGTGTGTATAAACTGTTTATATTTCCCAGAGGGAAAAACTTTTTTTTTCCAGAGATAGCAGTGAGGGTAGATTAAGGGTATATGCTCTGTGAGGTCCCAGAAGCCCGTTGAATTCTTCTTTCTGCATTTTGAGCAAGTTTGATTATGGAAAACATATTTTATGGTAAAAGAAAAAAAAAAAAAAAAGCACAAATGTTCTTAGAAAAGTAATGATGAAATTTCATGTTTTAAAGCTTTACTAAACTAAACTACTTAACTAAAAACTCAAACCACATTAAAATCTAAAACAATGAGAAATTAAAGTTGCTAAAAATGAATTTGACATGCATATTATATATTTTTTAAAATATTTTAGATATGTAACAAAAGATTGTTTGAAACTAAAGACAAATGTGGTTCACAAATTTGTGAACCGCACATTGGCTCTTATTTGAGAAATCAGAAATTAATCGAGCATAACAGTCAACCACTAAAACAAGCAAGCAAATAATTTGCATTTCTAAACATTCTAATAATAAAATGTGTTTTATTATCGTTATTTACTTTTTTGTAAATCAGTGAATTTTAAAATTTAGCGATAAAACAAAAAGTTATATTTTAGCTTTAAAATATGATCTTAATTAAAAACCTTCCACACAGTGGTGGATTAACCATTACAGAAACATAAGAAATTATTTTGTTAATCACCAGCACTATTAATTTAGGGCGTCTTTGGCATAAATCTTGCATTAGGTGGTGGACTAATAAATGTGTTAAACTGTGTACTGTATATACTTATATATTTTATAAATACATGCTGGCAATTAAAATCTCTTCACAATGCAAATCTTCAAAACAAATTTTCTATACTGACATCATATCACCACTAGATGACACCAGAGATCTTTCCAGTGCAGTTTTTTAAGTTGGCGAGCTCCAGATAAAGAAGAGACACATATTATGAAGCTAAATATCATAATATAGGAATAAATTGGGGGGAGGGAGCACCAGGATTAAGCTTAAAGCAAAGCAAAAACTATCCATGGTCAAGCAACAGTATCCTTTTGTTCTCCATTCACATGTTCAGCCACAACAAGAGATTTTTTTTGATCATCAGTTTTGGAAGTCTCATGTTAAAATATGTCCATAACATGCATGCTGTTGGATGTACGTAAACTATTTTACTTGACATTGTGATAAATTCATTAGATTTTACTTACTAGAAAATGAATTTTAAAGAGTACTTTACAGTTGAGGATATTGAGCTTTTACTTTGTGAGTGGGAAAAAAAACAGCTTAAATATCACTCTCTAATTTAGCCAATTTCCTGATAATCAAAAATATAGTAATTACACTAATCTCAAGAAACCCATCAGACATTCTTGGTTCAGAATGGCCACTTCAAATCTCAAGCCACTCTTCCTCAAGGAATAAAGCAAAGAGTATCAAGGTAACCTGAACACATTTTATTTAACTACAAGACCGCGGCAGTTGAACGGTTTGAGGTAGTTAATCTTCAAGGGAGCGTCAACGACCAGTATGGAGATTAGATTTGCGTTTCCATCAGGACTGGACCAAAGATTTAATCATTCCTCGGTGTACCAAAGCAGAGATCTTGTCGAGGTCGAATGTTGCCAGATTTGAAGTTAATCTTCAGGACGTATCCATGTTTGCGGATCAGCGGCTTGGCAGTGCCCTCAATTGAGCGCCTGTATGGGAAGGATCTTCAACTGTGTCGAGTGAGCCGATGACACAGTGAGCGACAGCGGAAACGAGGCGAATTTGATTTCAGAATTAAAGCACTGAAATAAAAGGTGTTTCGGACAGAGTCAAATGAGTCATCAACATATTTATGTGATTAAAGCCTCGGGAAAATAAAAACACACTTTGCTCAGTATAAAAATGAGGGACATTGATGGCTATGTATTTTATTGGGGAAAAAATGTATGTATGTGTTACATTATTATTTGATTTCTATTCTTTGTTAAATTAAATAAAAGAATGTTGTTCATCTTCTGTATGGTTCCAATTTGATTTCCATTTCATCTTTTATTGTGAAATTTGTAAGCAGAAGCTGTTTCCCGTTGCTGCTTACTTGACAACAGGAGCCCAGTGCGGTCCTCCTCCTCAGTTGCAGCCTACAATTCAAGTGTGCACCGGGAAAAACATGATAAGAAGGCTATCTGGACAGTGAATATGGGAAACAAAACCTTACAGGCATACAAAGGATCCTAGAATGGAAAAATCTGATCAAATCTTTTGATCAGTGACAACTTCAAGTGGAGTGTGTGGTTGTGTTGTTTCTTTTTCTCACCACAATGTGTGAGGGATGGATATGGGTCGGATGCCAGTTTATTTTCGTTACGGATACAAGGACTGGCAGGTTATCAGCATGAATTACTAAGGGGAAAAAAGAAAAATAAATTTGCCATAAATGTTAAATTCAGCTCTGGAGGAATGACCATGGTGAAAAGGAAGGGACTGTTATTTTCGCTGCTGTACTTTATGGCAGAGTTTTGGCTCACTTCGCAGCAAGTCCTGAGAATTGGTAAGTGGTAAAAGTGTCCATGTCATAAATATTTATATAATAACTGTTAACATGTTGGCTGCCACTGCGCTCGTCAGCTTTTTCCATCGCTGACCCAGTTATTATGCAGTCTGGGTTGCATCTCATTTCCCACTGGGGTAAAAAAATATTATGTATCAAGGATTTCAAGCTAGAGCCTTGAAAAATTGGCAATACTTTCTGTGCAACACTGATTGGAATTGTTAAAATGTATTTTCCCTATAGAATGGCACCTAAATAATTAAATGAATACATAAAATATATAAATACAGTTTTGTGGTTTCTCGTAAAGCAAGGCATTCTTAATCTCTCTCAGTGCGAGTGCAGCATGTTGTTTCATTTCTTTTAAAAGAACAAAGAAGGCAAATTCAATTACGGCCAAGATTTGTGAAATGATGTCTGTTCATTGCAAATGTATATCTGAGTTACTGTAGTTGAATCGCTTTTGAATCCTGATACCCTCGACCACAAGTTAAATACCATAGAGCCAAACGAGATCGAGGCACATCGCATATGTTGTTTTTAGGAGCAAATTTTGAATGTGCAGTTGTTGTTGCGTCTTGCCATCATGTAACTGTCGCTCACTAAGTTGCCTAGCATGCACTGAGTACAAAGAATTGTCAAAAAAAAAAAGACATATTCAACTTTATTCACCTGTTGTGATGTTTGTGCAATAACCTTATAATTTTTATTACTGTATTTTTTTTCTTACTCCAAGAGACCGAGCTGTAGGTTATTCAAATGAATTTTTTTTTTTTTTAATCAAAATTGTGTTAATCCACTTTGGTTGACCAATGGCAGAGTCTCTCTTTCTCTCTCTTTTCCTTCCATGTTGACAGCAAAGAACAGAAGGAGAGACGGGTGATTAAGTTGGCCTACTGCTACATCTGAAAGCATATACTGTTGGCATAATGTTCACCTTGGCACACAGCACTGTGAAATTGATACATCACTAAAGAATAAAGAGTGGACAGTTCAGCAAAACTTATATATATATATATATAAATATATTTGGCTGCTCCCTACCCTTTCATACTCAAAGGTTTTTTAAGCTTTGTGTGCACTGATGGCCAGTGACATCTGTAAATGTGGATCTGAGTCCAAAGCTGTCTGTTAAGCCTTTGAGGGTTGACAAGAAGAGTAATTTCAATTTCCCTCTGTGCCTGTAATTAAACAAACAGAGCTCTTGCTTCAGTATCCCCCCTTTGATCTCTGATGTAACTTTGGAACAATGAGCCGGTGTTTGCTGCAAATTAATACTTTCGGGCTCTTTGCTCTTCTCCCATTGGTTATTCACATGGGTTAGAAGATTGCATCACAAAAATGGCTTTTAAAATTTAGCCCTAAGGACGCGTCGTTTTACTTAATGCCTGCAGCAACTCTGAATTTGAATATATATTCAAATTTTTAAAAGAATATAATAAACGTGGTGTTGCATAACTTTAAAAGGCTAAGAAGTCGGTGTGACTTCCTGGTTTCAACAGTCCCGATCTGTGCTCTGTATTGTTAATCTCTCAATCATCTATCACTCTCAAAGGCCACCTAATCTTTGTCATTCTCTTCATGACCCACACACATCATAATCCCTCCCATATGGTGTGTGGCTTGGCTCAATTAACATTTCTCCGTCTTGGCTAGCGTCTGCATCAGATTGTGACAGGCTCCCACTTTTTTCACTGGGACTGGTAATAATGGTAAATCTTGTGCTCCAAGCCCTTAAACAACTAACTCTAATCTTCTTTATGCATTAAGTCTCTTCCCCAAATATGGTACTTAGGCAGTGACCAAATCTCATCACTGGGGAGAGCACAGAATCAACACAGAATTAACAGATGTAGCTGGGCCTTCTGTTTACTTTCCCTTTTGTTAAATTTCTTTTTCTCCTCTTGCTTGCATACTTAATGATTACTTTCTGATACATTATGTTTCATTTGTGTATTTATAGCTCAGTCCATATGATAAGAAATGTGGCACCAGCTCAGATCAACAACTGAATTATAATTTGATGAAGTATATATATTCCAGTATACAGTTTTTAACTCTGGTAGAGTATTACTCTGGCTGTATTAATATAGAAGATTACTTATATGTTTATTCATTTTGAATGTTTCCTAGTGAATCGCAAGGATCTTTCACATAAACAGAGAGACCTCAGTGCTCTACATCAAACAAACATAGTAGGCTGTGAGGACCTTCTCATTCATTCACAGTCTGGCATAGCTCCAGGTTGGAGTGGTGCTGGTGGTGTTGTTGGGGTGGGGGCGGGAGGTCTCTTTGGGAACTGGCCCAGGATGGAGAGAAGGAAGAAAGCACAACACTACGTCATTGTGTTCCTCTGCCTTAAAAGACTCTCCTTCATGTGATTATTGCACGGTCACAAAAAAAAAATAATACAAAAAGTGGATTAAAATAATTATTTGAAGGACACTGTCTCAATGTCAGCGGGTTTCTGGATTAAAATCAAGTCCATCCTGTTGCCAGAACCTGAACCCGGTTATTTTTCTCGCTGTCTGCACTGAAGTGAGGAAGCCTATAATAAGGATCAGCCTAAAGGTTTCCGCCTGCAGCATAAGCAGAATCTTTTGTTTTTGTGACCTCCTAGCATACATTACCCCAAACCATTGTCTGGCCTATTAAGGATGAGACGGAAGCTCAGTGATCCTGAAAATTATATCATACACAAATTAATGGTAACTATTCATAGGTTGTTTCTTTTTTTAACTCTCAGGACTCACATTTGAAAGCTTCCCTACTGGATATTCACAATTTTGGGAGGAAAATATTTCTAGTGATTTCTGCTCTATCGTTTAATCTCATCTTGATTCAAACTATTTACAAAAGTATAAAAGATCCTTTCTTGTCCCTTCATCTGTTAACCTGTTGAGAGGGAGCACTGATTCATGTGTCATCTGCAAACAAACACTTATTTGTCTTCCAATTTATCAGTATTATATTTGAGAACTGACTGTCATGACTGGTTTGAAGTTATGAAATGTAGATATTCAAAATACGATAAAGATACACTGAGCCAAACAAACACACAGCATCGTCTAAAGGCTTGTATATGTCTGCTGCAAAAGCGAAAAGATCAGTTTCATAAAAGATACACATTTATTAGCCACATATCCTGATCTTTAACCATTTTAACATAAAATTAGTAGTTAATGGAAAATATGTATATCACTGTTGCTGTGTGTTAAAGGGTACATGTTTTTATAAAACACAAACTCGAACATCAGTGTCTATATCAGCT